TTTGGCGCGAGAATGGCTAATTCGGGAACCAAAAAGATTGGGGGCCCTAAATTTTCAGAGCATGTTCCCAGCACAAGTACAACTTACATCTACCAAATTCAGCCCTTTAGTGTGTGTGGCACTTATGTACAGCCCCGCGATGATTTTCCTTTTGGCTCGTTGGCTTCGAAAGTAAATTCGCATCCTTCCCTAGGGTTTTCATTGGCTATTTGTGTGTAGACTTAACGTTTCTTTGTAACGATTAACCTCCTTCTTTGACATTTTAAAGCAAATTGGTGTAATGTCCTGGAGGCATTTGTAGAATTTTGACAGTACTTCGCAGATTTCAGAAAAATTATCGCCTTATCTTGGAAATTTTAGATAAATTTGTAGTTTTCAAAGATTCCGATGCCGATTCTTATTACAGCTTGGAAACTACTCTGCAACTCCTAATGCGGGGAAAATTTTTAGGTGCTTGTAATAAATGATTTGCATGCGGATGATGCTGATGAATACACATGTCGAGCAACGAATGCGAAAGGGACAAAGACAACGCAAGCGCAGCTGGCTGTTCGTTCAAAGCCTCGCGTATTCGTTCCACCACGGTACCACGGTGGTTACGAAGCGCAAAATGGTGAAAATATTGAACTGAAAATACCATTTAAAGCATTGCCACAGCCAACGGCCAAATGGTTCAAAAATGGAGAGCCAGTTAGCGAATCCGATAAATACAGAATTAACACCGACGACAAGTATCTTTTTTGTTTGCAATGCAAATTTTTACTCCGAATTTTTCGAAAAATATCTTTAACTGGAATTCGAACTGAACTTAGTAAAAGTAGGTTCGTTAAACGCTGTTTGGCGTGATTTCTTCTTAAATTATAGGTTTTCAACTTTAACGATTGTAAATGGCGCTCGGGAAGATTTTGGACAGTATCGTGTTGTGATTGAGAACGATATTGGTTCAGATTCTGGTACCATAGCTTTAACTGTTGCTGACAAACCTGATCCACCACGGTTTCCAATTGTCGAAAATATTCTTGATGAAGCTGTTATTCTCTCATGGAAACCTCCGGAATTAGACGGCGGTGCTATGATCACCAAGTACGATCCCATCTGTTCAGCTGATAATTCACTGAAGCTTATTTTGTTCACTTTTAGTATTAGCGACACTTCTCTAATTGTTGAAATTTTTAGCTACATTGTTGAACGACGTGAAGCAGCTGGTGGACAGTGGGAGCAGTGTGCGAAGTCACGTTATACCTACCTGACAATCGAAGGACTTAAGCCTAAGCATACCTACGAATTTCGCATCATTGCTGAAAATAAGCATGGGCTGTCGATTCCTTGCGAGTCAACTGCACCAGTTGCTATTCCGGAGCAGCGTATTCGAAAAAAGGGGCATGATGGTAGACGCTGTTGCATTTGCAAAACAAATTAATTAGCTGCAGTTGCATTTGAATTCTTTCTATGAAATTTTGCAGTTGATGATTTGGGTAAGATTGTACATGGAAAAGGACCTGCGTCAGATAATTATGATGCATATGTGATTGATGTCTGGAAACAGTATTATCCGCAGTCGGTAGAACCAAAACGAGGATCGGTGTATGACTACTACGATATTCTTGAAGAAATTGGATCGTAAGCCTCTTTAGATTTCGCGTAAATGAAATGTTTTACGACTAATAATATTCTCAAATAACTGTGTACAATTTTAGTGCTGTGAAAAGTTAAGGTAAAAACTCTCCGTATTTTGCTGTTAGTGAGAGGCGGAGGCATTCGGAAAGTAACCTGAGTGGTAGCAATACCAACAGCAATCACCTGCTGGCAAGGCTGTCGATAATCACTGTTCTGAGGACTGCTTGCAAACAAATGATGGCTGGTATGACTCCTGGCTTATATCAGTTCAATTTACCATCAAAACGAGTCGTAGAGGACTAGGATGTCTCAGCGACAGAGTCGAACCTTCCACCTATGTATGATAGCAATATTTTAATACTGTAAATGGGAAAAAACGAACGTCAGAATCGCCAGCTAATTGTTCACTAGGTGAAGCATCATTCGTCAAAGGAAATAAATTGCCAGTTGAATAATTGGATAGCTGATCAAAGTATATTATTCTCAGCGGCTGTTCTGGAAATGATTTGAAGCCTGGGACGTTCTCATGACGTCCGCTTTGGAAATAACAAGTCGGCAAACCACAGCCACTTCTTAAAACCAATTTTGAAAAAAATTTAGGAAATTTTTTCTACTTTTTTTT